TTTTTGCTATAGGACACGTGCGCTCGCCAGACAGACAGAGAGAGACAGAGAGATAGAAAGAGAGAAATCACCCCCCAGGGGGATGGTCACGCCGCAATCCCCTCTCCTCCATTCTCCTCTTGGGATCTTGGGCACACACGCACATGCGCCTGGCGTGAGTTTTAAGTCACTGGGTCCAGGACGCGAACCGCGGTCGACTACGTGGAGTCCAGCGACATAGCCATTACGCTAACTGCTGGTTCCCAGTTTTTTCTCTCTTGTGCACATCCTTTCTGTATTAAGTTGAAAGCATAACTCATTTGATTACATCATATTGGTTCATTAGTTTATTGGACTATGATAATTTATGAAGAATGGTTTACTGATGTGCCATATTTAAATATTATACATATTCCTACACACACACGCAGGGCACTTGCCAGAGACAGGCAGAGAGATAGGGAGGAATCAGCTTTCAAGGGGGTATAGTCATGCCACAATTTCTTCTCTAACATCACATAATTTTACTTGGACTTTGGGCAAACACATATGTATGTCTGGTGTGTTTTTTATTCTGCCAGGGCAAAGATTCAAACCACTCAGTTGGCCATGTGAGATTCAGCTCCCTTATTCACCAGGCCAAGAGGCTGACTGTCTTATATTCTGAGTATTATGTTTTGTAGAGTATTATATGTTGGTATACTGTAAACACAAGTAGATTATGGATGAACATACATTCACTGGACCAGCTCATGGTGTGTAGGCTAAGGCAGCTGGATCACACATGGATGGGTGACTTCGCAGTTCCCGTCTTCTACCCAGCATGTTTGTGTGCATGCCCAAAATTCCAAGAGTGGACTAGAGTAAAAGGGATTGTGGTATGGCCATCCCAGTAGGGAGTGGTTTCTCACTTCCTCTCACTCTCTTTCTGTCTCTGTCTCACTCTGGTGAGAGCTCAAGCCCTATAACAAACTAAAAAGAAAAGAAAAAGATGGCATTTATCTTTTATAGATATCATTCTCATTTCTTCTTGTCCTTTCATATATATTTTAGTCTGTGAATTTCCTTGGTATAAGCATCTCAAAGCATTAACCATAATACCAGACAAATGGATTAGAAGGCTATTTCTATAACAATCATTGTTTATATATGTGTGGTGTTCTTAATATCTGAAAAGCAGTGACTCACATGAACTCAGAAGCCCAGAAATGGATTAAACACAATCCATGGTTTATGAGCCACTCTCATTATTAACCTCTTGGTCATTAACTTTTAAGAATATGTATACGTATCACACTAGGGTCTTTTATCACATTATTTTTTTTTTTAGACGTTTTTGCTATAGGACGCGTGTGCTTGCCAGAAAGACAGAGAGAGACAGACAGAGAGACAGAAAGCGAGAAATCACCCCCCAGGGGCGATGGCCACACCATAATCCCTTCTCCTCCATTCTCCCCTCAGGATCTTAGGCACGCACAAATGTGCGCCCAGGGTGAGTTCAAGTCGCCGGGTCTGGGACTTGAACCACAGTTGACTACATGGGAGTCCAACGACATAGCCATTATACTAGCTGCTGGTCCCTTCACATTACATATTTTTTTAAAAAAATATATAACCTAAAGTTTTCTAACCAACCAGATATGAGGCAACGATATAAATACTGAGGAACTCAACTTCTCAGCATCTTTGTCGTATAGAAATCTGTATTAAAATGGTTTGGGATAAAAAAAAAATGGTTTGGGATGAAGTGGTTAACTAAAGAAAATACATGAGATAGTTCTAGTCATGTATGAAATTAAGTAATTAGGTATCTTGGTAATATTTGGTAAACAACTAATAAAGAGGAAAGCTAATCATACTAATTTATTTAGAAGTCAATGTGATGGTGGCTGACTCCATGGACTGGTGGTTAAGAAAGTCAGATCTCACTTGGCTGATTGCAAGTTTGAGTCCTAGAACTAGTAGCTTGAGAAACATACTGGACCTAGATGTATGTATGCCTAGAATCACCAAAGGAAAGAAATCTGGAGAAGGAATTTTGCAGCATGACCATTCCCCACGTGGGCTGCATCTTTCTCTTCCTCTCTTAGTTTGGAGTGCTTGCATCCTCTAGCAGAAAAATAAAATGCCTAGGTAATATGAACATGGTTAAAATTGAGAAGATAATTACCATGTGTGTGTGTGTGTGTGTGTGTGTGTGTGTGTGTGTATTTTTAAAATTTTTGTCATTGGGCATGTGTACTCACTGGAAAGAGACAGAAAGGGAGAATGAGAAATCACCCCCTTTGTGGATGGCCATGTCACGATATCTTGTATTACTTTCTCCTCTTGAGATTTTGGGCGTGTGCACACAAATGTGTGGCATGATTTCTAAGCCTTTGTTCCAAGGCTTGAACTACAGAGTTACCTATGTGGGATCCAACACATACACCATGTCGTCTGCTGCCCCATAGTAAAGTTATGTTAAATGACAAAGCTTTCTCAGAGATAGACAGGAATGTAGACATCCATTCAAAGTTGTTGATACTGTATATAATTATGACTAATGATTCTTTTTTTTGTATTCAGACTCCTGAATCTATGTAGCCAGAGCTGTGGTCCTGGATTTCATAAAATTCTCCTTGAAAGAATACCTGACTGTTTTCTTTGTGTTTCCTTCACAGACAGAGCCATTTCAAATCAAACAGGTATGAAATATATAAGCATCCTATGATAACTCCACTCCTTATATCTCTATAAAAAGGAAGCCAGTAATAGTAGAAATAGAATATAGAGAATAATTGTTCTCAATTTGTGTGTTCACTTATTGTTTCAATATATTTATTTCATAAACATGATTGTTACCCTATTGTATGTCACCTCTTACCTGGCTGTGTTCATCATATCAGACTAAATTTTGAAACTGATTCAAGGTAAAAATTTCTTGCATCCAGTGCTATATAAAACAGTGTCTATCTTAGATCTCACACTTTACCATGCTGAAGTCTTCTAAAAAATGAAAGTTGCAATCAGGACTACCTGTGAGTTCCATGAAAGATTAAAAATGGCTGTCATGGGAACCCGCAGCAGCAAAAGAGACAGACTGAGTCCAAAGGAACTTCATCACAGACCTCTTGCTATATTCTTCCCACTCTAGTGTGTCTCTGACCACCTCCCTCCCTCCCATGACCCTTCACCATTAAAAACTCCATGTCTTCCCCAAAGAACAGCAATTGGCAACAGTATGAAATTGGGGAGCACAAAGGGACCACATGTCTCAGACTGCATTTTGCCTGTCGAGTTGTATTTTGAGATTTCATAGATGGCTGAATTTTGTGATGCATCCTCCAGTTGAATCTTTCCAACTCAGCTTAAGTTGTACTGGTTCTGAGAGACTTGGAAAGGAACCAACACCTAAAGCTGGATAGATACACACTACTCTGGTTGGAAGAGAAGGCCCTCTCCCAACAACACACCTGAGAAGTAGAGCTCATCTTCCCCCACCCCATATTACAGAATCAATTCCACAAAAAGGTGTAAGATTGGATAATTCATCAGATAACCAGAAAACATCCAGAGGCATAAAAATATGAGGAAACAAACAAATACCTCTCCCTCAAAGGACAATTCTTCCTCAACCATAGATAACACAAAATAACTTGCAAAAATATCAGAAAAATCACTCATAATATTCATACTTTAAAAAAAATAGATAAAATGCAAGAGAACAGAGACAATGAGCTCCAGCAGGTGAGGAAGTCCTTCAAAGACTTGGAGGAGGAGATCGACATCATAAGTAAGAATCAAACAGAACTTCTATGCATAAATCTATGCATAAAAACTGCAATATAGGAAATCAAAAGCTTCTTCAAAAGTATGAATAGCAGATTAGACCACAGAGAAGATAGAGTCTCTTATCTGGAAGACAAACCTCTGACTTAAATAAAACCTCCAAAATAAATGAAAAAAAATAAAGAGGACAACATAAAGAAAATATTAGACACATTAATAACCCAAATTTCTTTCTTTCTTTTCTTTTCTTTTTTTTTTTTTTTGGGGAGTTTTTTTCTTTAGGGAACATGCGCTCGC